TCTTAGCGTTAGGCGAATTTAAATTTCTTGTTCTTCTATTTTCCTATCTACTCACTCAATACATAGATACAGCTGCCCTCAAGCTTAGATAAACATATTTAGTAGCTTAAAAATAAACTGTCTGTTGTAGCAATTTATGCACAGTGCATTAACAAGCAACTTCTATTTCTACTCCTCTCTTTGCAGACAAAGATATACGTAATCACTTGAGCAACGACATGTACACTGATGGCCATCTTGTCGTTTGCGATCGTTTAATGGACGCCCATGGCCAACATCCGGCAACAGCTGCTGCTGCCTATTACCAGCAAATGGAATCGCCACCTTGCTACACTATTGCCACTGGCCTGCCGACCTACGACGAGGCATTGCATCATCATCAGCACTTCTCCTACGGCATGAAATTCACGTATCCTTCGATTACGGCTGTACATCATCATCCGGCTATTGCCGGTCTTTACGCCACCAACTGCAACAGCAACAATAACAACAACCACACAACCACCACAATAACTTCAATGTTAAAGCAGCAGCAAAGTGGCGGACAATGTCAGCGGCAGCAGCTAATGAAACAGAAATCGTACAAAGTGTCACCATTGCCTGGGGAGGCGGACGCAGAGGAGGCAGTGGCAGTGGACGTGCCGGCCACCTACGACATTGCAGAGCTACATGGCCTGAATATCCCGGCGGCTGCATTGGGCGTTGCTGCGCCGTTGCTGGGTGTCAATGCCAGCACGGAGAAGTCGGTGACGCTGGAGGAGGTGATTACCATACGCCTGGATGAAATGACTCCAACAGCAACGCTGGCGGCCACAACAGCAGCAACGAGAGCAACAAGAAGGCCAACATTGTTCTATAATGATGTCCAGCGGGGAAGCAGCGGCAAGGAGGAGCAACAGTGCAGTGCGGTGACGATAGCGTGATCACATCAAGCACGCGCCAACGCATCGACTCAACTGGTTGGCCTGATGGGTCGACTGACTAATGTCGCATTGTAAATATATATGTATGTTTGTAAATATGCCGCCGATGGATGCTAGATAGTGGCGAAAGCTACACACTACGCTACGAGTAAAATTTCACAATCGAGCAAAGATACTAATTAACTTAATGACATTTCGAATGAGTCTGTAAATCGCATCATAAGTTACGTATTTCACGTTGAAAGTTGTCTACATACTTTTTAGTTACGTGATATCATCTTTTCCTACAATCGATTTCGAAAATGCATTTGAATTACGACAATTTATTAAATCTCATATCAACGAATGCGATTTTTTGTTTAATATTATTATTTTTAATTTAATATATTTTACTTTGAAAGAGACTGATTGTTCATTAAATAAAAATGTTTTTGTAATTGCATGTAAAATGTACACGTATGTATTTATATTTCATAGTTCTTAGTTAGCAAGCAAATGCAAGTAGTAAATTGTATTTATCAGCGATTTGTAAAAATAGTCCCATAAGTCTCGTATGATCTAAGAAAAACAAAAGGAATATTAAATTTAAAAAATGTTATTCAGTTTAAAAATTTGGTTCGTTATTATTTCGATTTGGTTCCTTTCACACTCTTCCGTTTTAGTAGGTATAACTTGAAGTTGTTTCGGTTTTTTTTTTATATATGCACCTTTACATACACATATAAACCAAACACACACATCCACTCACACAACTTCATTGTTTACATAACATATTTCCAGAAAAATCTTGGATCAATTCACAATATCGTCTGAGCCGTCACCACCTTTCAAAAGAATGAAAGCTCAAAATGAGAACTCGTAGGATCTTTAGCCTGCCTGAATATCTGAAGTAACTACTGAAAAATTGGATATCTGATGACACCGAGTAGGTGTAATTTCAAAGTAACTTCCTGTTGGCTGTTCAATTATAGATACCCAAAATATATAAAAATGTTTGTAAACACTGTATTATATTATTTAGTTATACATGTAAATACACATACATATTCAAAACAATAATAATTTAGTAAAGAAACAATGATTGAATATATCAAACCCCGACAAAATAATTGGTTTTATTAAATGTTCTGAGATAAAGAAAGCAGCAAGTTTTTGAATATTATACTACACACACATGCAAATAAACACATTTATATAGCCTTATGGCCAACTAATTAAGTTAGTCAGATTTTGACCAGTTTTGGCTATTTTTATTTTTTTTATTTTATGTTAATTATATTTTTTTAAGTCTACCTCATTATTAATACACATTTCACACTTTGTACAAAAGTAATAAAATCATAAACAAATTTTCACAAAATTTCAAACTTTTTATTTAGAATTTTTTACAAGATCTTAGGTATGAAGCTTTATAGCGCATTTAATTTTAGTATGAGAAAGCACAATTTTCAAATGGCTATGAAATGGCTCTGTTTTTTTTTTATATATTGTTGATGCTTTTGCGTATTTTAAAAGAGGGTACGCTCGAAATTTCTATTATTAAAAATTAACCCGAATTTTTTGTCACCTATAAAATTATCCTCAAGTTCTGAATAAACAGTTTGATATTTTTGGGAACATTTTTTTAAGTTTTATTATTTTTGTACAGAGTTTGAAATTTGGATTAGTATCTGCTTGTAATAAAACGCTCTAGACTTTTATAAAAAAAATTTACTTTAAATAATAATGATGGATTTGCGCGAATATATATGTTAGTGTTTGGCCGAGCTTCTCCTCCGATTTGTGGCGTGCGCCTTGATGTTGCCACATAAAGGGCAGATACCTACAGCTTTACGCCGACTCCGAAAGGCGATTGTATTCATATGAGAAGCTGTTTTTCATGGCAGAATACACTCGGAGGTTTGCCATTGCTTGCCGGGGGCCTGTTAAGAAAAAACCTTTTTTATATATTTTTTTGCGATGTTGCTTTGACCCGGGCTGAAGCCAGGCCTTGCGAAGTGGTAGCCGCCACTACACCACAGCGGCCGGCCAATAAAATAAACTTTAGTTAAAAGAAAATTACCCAAACTGGTTAAAATGTCACTAACTTAATTAGTTGGCCGCAAGTGTAAATTAGGATGGGTAAAATTGTTGTGGAAAATAAGTCACGGCAATGCGTATATCAAAACGTGATCTACGGACAATTTTAAGATTTACCAGAGAAATCTAGAATCCAAGGTGCTTGAAAGGGTTTGAAATCCACTAAAATGTATGTGAAGTTTTTAATTCCATAAATTCCAATACAATTTTTTTTTCTCTCGGGAACATTTCTAAGAGAAAATAATAGAAACAAAGGTCACCGGAACGTTTTGGCAAAGAAAAAAAAAACGGAACAAAGTCTAAGCAGCTTTCTCTCGAAAAGCAATTTGAGAACTTAAGTGTCAGAAACTTTCGGGATCAAATCTTCTCTGATCTATTCGCGAATAATGGAGACGAGAACCAAATTTTTCTTTTAGCGTTTGAAATGTTTGAATATTAAAATTAATCAGAAATGAACTGAAGTCAACGAAAGACTTAAGATACGAACCTGTCTTGCACAGAAAATCAAAAAATGTTCAATACATGAACAGTTCACCGTAATGATAAACGGTCTGGAAGTTGAAATCATCCATTTTTCCTCTGGCTTAGAATTAATAATCATGGTTCTTACTGAAACGCTTCTTCATCCCAAGACGCAGACGGCCCTCTCATTCTTAACGTTATGTTCACAAAGCTTTTGTTTTAGTTCTGTTCTCTAGAATAACGTTTCTCCGAACTTTTTTTCTTATATGATTCTCCTTGAAAACGTTCTCAATACTTTCGGAAACGTTCCCGAAAGTTTCGTTGTGATTCTGTTCTTCTCAAAACTTTCTTGAGAGTTTTGTTCTCATCTTGTTCTTTTAGAGAATGTTCCCGAGAGTTTTATTCGCATTTTATTATTTACGGAAACTCTCCCGAACCTTTTGTTCTCATTTCGTTCCTGTTCAAACTGCTCTTAATATTTTTGTTTCCTTTTAGTTTTGATCTCGTGCAGAATAAATTATCAGAAAACCCATCCCTTGGGTACTTTGGTTTGCTGATATTAGTTTGACACATGCAATGCAGTTCTTTTCACTAAGCAATTTTAATACGCTTAATTTAAGACCAATCTTCAGCATGAGTTTAGCAATTTTGCTTTTTCTTAAGTTTTGTACTTTTTTCTTTTGAATAAAAATCCTTAGACAGGTCCCTAGGATTTATTTCGAACAAAACACAAAGCAAATAACAAATATTCTTATTTTCGGAGAAGCCAACAGTATTTTATTCTGATGGAGATGGAAGCCAAGAATAATCAACAAACTTTTATTACGATAGCCGCTATCACTACAGGAAAATGTCTTAATTTTTTTAAGCAAACTACATACTTACTCAAGGAAATTTTAAGCAAAGCTCTTTTCGTCAATGTGCATTAAAGAATGCAGATAATACAATTATGCCGGGAAATTTGTACGTTTGTATTTCTAATGTTTTTTGAGAAGTTATTAACCCTTTTCAATTGCTGAGGTTTAATTTATGTGGTTATATAAGTGATGAGCCAGAAGTAGTAATGCAGAAATTTCTGAACGACAAGATTTTCCTATAAGAAAACTCTCTGAAGAACCCATTGTCATTATTAATGTTTAGGATGAGTGTATTATATCTAAAACCGTCTGAAAAAGGACCTGTACTAAGGAAATCTTATCATCTTCTTGGGCATATTACAAAGAAATCTTACAAGATTACTTTTATGTTAGTTTCGTAAGGCAAATGTCTTATTTAACACCAAAGCAATGATGTGAAAAGTGTTAAATACCTACACTTAAAACAACACGATCCGCACTACGAAAATCCTCACAACACAAACAGGAATCATTTCACAAAAATTAAACAAAACAATTAGGCTCATATTCATAGTCATATTTAGTACTCAACTAAGTCGAAACTATTCTAAGTCACAACTAAAGCTATTCATAGTCGCCTTAGTTTCGACTTTTCTGGCTAAGTACCAACTTAAATTTTAGTTTCGGCTGCAGCTGCAACTAAGTCGTAACTAGGAAGAAGTATTTTATCTAATTAAGGGAAAACAGACGAAATATGTAAAAATTAAGTTGGTAGAGGGTGATTTTGATAATATTGAATAAACTCCAATTAAAATTTACAAAGATCGATCCATTTTAATCGGAAGTTGAAATTAAATGCGTATTACGAAAAATAATAAAGCTACATCACAATTTTATAATTGGAATAATTTAGATAAATTTTCAAATATTTAATAAATCAGTTTCACGCTAGTTCTTTTAAAGTAAATTTGTGCATAGCATTTAGATATCTACTATTTGTATGTTCCACAGCATGCTTTCGATAAACATCGACTTCACATCACTGCGGTTATTCTGGCTATTTCACACAATTAACAAGAAAATGATACCTTATTCTTTTGCATAATCATGCAATGAAAATAAAAATTACATAAACGGATGATCAAACTTGATATTATTTAATAAAAATGTAATTTTTCCAAAATATCGTAAAGAAAAATCGATACATTTTCACACTCGTTTTGCTATATCGTAAACTAAGTCGAAACTACTTAGTAGAAGTCTGAAATGCGACTATGAATAGAGGTAAATTTTAAGTTGGTACTTAAATTTAAGTTGCAACTTTGTTAGTTTCGACTTAGTTGCTGGACTATGAATACGCGCCTTACAGATTACTTAATACAATTTCCACATTCGTCCTTTTGATCTAGGAAAGCACCTCCTAAATTACACTAGCGATACTGCTTTAATGGCAGCATAAGGAAACAGCATTTTACGTACATAAAAAAGCACATACATATGTACAAGATATAATTAAACGAGCTCAGTAAGGGTTTCAAATCTCATTTTACTACTAAAACAATACGTGGAATGTGCAAAAAAATAAACTCGGTTTCAAAGCAAGAACCTAATGTTCCAACGCAAACAGCTACATAAATACATTAAGGTGGAAAAGGAAAAGTTAATTCGGATATTCATACATACATATGTAAGATTTGTAAATTTCTTGTATGATATGACATAAACCATTGTACCCTGTTTTATAGTGCAAAGAACTGTATGAGTGGAACAATTATAATTCCAGCTTAGAGTTTTTAATGCTCTTTTTGAATTTTCTTCTGTTTATAATGGCTGTATTTCTTTATTCATTCTGAACGTTTGGAATAAACTTTTTTATTTACTTATTCTTTAGAACGTTCCTGATGATATGTTAACGTATATTTCAAACGCATTCTGTTTATTCCGGCTGTGAAATGGGATTATCCGAAATGTATAAAGAAACGCAGCCAATACACTGAGGGAAATAATGCATAGTAAAAATGAATACTTTATATTTGATTATCGTTTAAAAATGTTCGTATTTAAAAATAATATTTTCATACAAAATGTATTACGCACGTATTTGACTGTTCACATGTGAGTATGAATATGTAAGTGTACATACGCACCCCAAGCATGCAGAGCGCCGCTCTGAGAGCGGTGACAACACACACATACATACATAGTACATACATGTTTATCAGTACAAATCGCGTGCTGTGGTGTTGATGGATATTCAACATTTGAAAGCAAATTTATATGTCTGGTTGTAGCTGAGTGCGCAAAGATGCTTGTCACAAGTTGTTGATATCCGGAGATGCTCGGGTTCGAATTCCACTGCAGGCAACATGCAAATAAATTTTTTTTTTTTAGTTTTTGTCTTGATTATTCACTTCACGGATGCTTTTTCAGTACGAACGCGGTCATTTTAATATGCGCGTAATTGAAATGAATATTTACCAATATACAGTACTTTCGTTGACGTTTATAGTAGGATCAATTACGTTTCTATTTGATTTTAATATTTTTTTCCCTCAGTGTATGTATCAACATGGAGGGTAGTTTGCAGGATATCCGAATAGTGCGGTGATATTCGGATAGCGTACAAATATTGGGAAATAATAATTGTTCGTGACGGGTGGAACATTTTAACTCGTTGTTTGTTCAAAATTTTGTAAATTCTCTATAGCTATTCATTGGATAAGTGTATAACTGTTAACACATGAAATCAGATATCAGTTTAGTATGAAATAGAATTTAATTATACCTACATACAATTTACACAGAATTTTAACATTTTCCAAGCGTGACGGGTTGGAGATCGATGACACCCGCTTCTTGGAATTTCGTTTCCCAATTTTAGA